CTTAAATGCCATCTACAACTAGGGGAGGTAGCTCTTGCTGGAAGTAGAGGCTGGAGGATCACGAGTTCAAGGTCATCCTTGGCTTCAGAGAGTTTCCAAGCCAAAAAAGTACGTAAGTAAATAGAATCTAGGTTTTAGTTTGCTTCCAGTGATGAGGTGTCATGGCTAATGTATACTCATAATTTGTTACCTTAACCTTATTGAATATTTAAACCCGAAGATGTCACACAGAATCTTGCTCTGAGGCTCATTCTGGCCTGGAACTCCCCAGGTAGACCCAAACGTCCTTGAACTGCCCCTGCCCTGCCTCAGCTTGCAAGGGGCTATAGGGACTTCCAAGTGCTGCGGGCTTGCACTCTGTGTCTTCACTGTTACATAATAGTTACAGGCTGTCTAAAGCTGTAAGCGTCCCTGTGCAGTTCTGTTAGCCATACCCTTCTACTTCATACTTGGGTTACCGGTACAAATGCGTTCTGTCAGTTACTGAAGCAAAGTACAAACACACCCTATAGCTGCTGCTGTACACCACCCTCACTATTGCAAAGAGGCGTTTTAAGTGGAGCTTCGTTCCAGAGTTTTATTCAAGTTTCTAAATTTGTTTGTACACAAACATCTGTCAGTTCGGTTGGGGGCAGTTTGCATTTAGTTTTGTGTAAATAAAGTTTAGATGGGCAAGGACTAAGCCAATTCAGATGAAAGTAGGGTAGAACTAGATAAAATGAGATGCAGACCCGAATGCTGTTTTTTTCTTTGAATGATTGACCAAGGAATGCCACACAAAGCATCAAACTAAGGAGGTTTGACATCATCACCGCATTCAGTTGAAGAAGCCACCCACACACATTTCTCATTCTGCGAGGACCCTACAGAGTCCTCGCAGCCCAGACATGACATCCCACGAGCCCATTTCCTTTTAGGATCACGGCGGCCCCGCCCCTTGAGTGCCTCCGAGGGCGGGGTCACGCGTGGACCCAGGCTTTCAGGCTCCGAAAGGCGGAGAACCGGCCCCTGAGGGCCTGCAGTGCTCGAGCCACGCCTGGACCCAGGCTCGCTTGCCCAGAAAGGCGAAGGCTCCGCCCCCCTCGAGCATGGCGCATGCCCTGGCCACGCCTCGAGGGCGTGGCTACGCAG